CAGGGAAGACTTATAAAGGAGTAATCCTTTACTCTCCGATTACGCACCACTTCCCTGCAGTCCACCGCCCCTCCTCAAAGCCATTCAGAGTTGACACAGATTAGGAACAATGCCATGTTATAATTCAAGCAGCATGTGCACTGTGGAGAGGAAGAGGAAATGACCCGGTCCTTACACAAGTGCCCAAACCAGGAGGATCCAACTGAGGCAACCACTGGTCCCTGCACTACAGTATCTGATGTCTCTGGATCTCAGCAAATGCTCAGGAACAAGCAGCCTCCTCTTGGTATATGCCATTCCATCCTAGTCCTGGCTTTGAGAGATGGGGCAAGAGTCATAAATTCTCAATAAAAAAAAAAAAAGGTAATTGAAATTCACTTTCAGGAAGGCATGTGAAGGCCACACAGTGGTGTTGAGCCATCAATCAAATGGACCTGAGTAGGATCTGAGCTTCAGGCGGCGGGAGGGAGCGGGGACAGTCACTACTGAGGACCACACAACAGTGTGCATATAACAAGGCTGTGGTCCCTATCACCAACACCCACCACGACACTTCACTAGAGGATTCCAATACTTGAAAATGTAACAGTTAAGTCTCGAGACAAACCACTTCTGGTCTGGGCACCCACTCAAGTCTGCAGGACAAGACAGAAGACAAGTAATCAACTTTTTCTTTGTTGGTATACTAAAACCTTATCCCTCTACTGAATCAACCTTATCCCTCTACTGAATCAATATAAAATGTTTTGGCATGAGTGATATATGACATAGGTAGATTTGGGAGTAGAGACCCACCTATGAAAGCTTCTCCATTGTTCCCTGGCTCCACCCAACCTGCCACAGGCTGACTTCATACTAAATGAACTCTTCAGAGACACTGGTCCTGAAATTTATACACCTTAGCACTGAATCAATTCTTCACAACCATAAGGTTGTCAAGTAATTCAATACATGCACATTCATAACCAAGAATGTTTGAAAAATAAACAAGTTTAAACTCATTTCAAAGTGCTGACAAATTCTCAATGACCCGTGAGGGGACCACTCTCTAGAGGGAGCTGAGGATACCTCTTCATTAGCCACTGAGCTTCAAGGCTGCCCATAACAGGACAGGCTGAGCTAAACAAAAAGCCAGATGAAAATGCCACACCATAGCTCCACTATATTCCAAACCAGATATACATAATTTTAAAATCACCACTGAAAAGGTAAGACTAAATGTCAACATGAACAAGTCTAGTTGACCACCAAAGCATTTTATTTATAGACATAACACCCAGATGTAAAAATCTAGGGCCTCTTCTCTGTCCATCATTCTCCACAATGTTCAATGTGACTATTATTTGAAATAAAGTTTTCCCAAGTAAGCTGTGTGGAATTCAGTCTGCAGCCAGAGCTAATAGTCTTTCACCAAATGAAAGAGAAGATACTGTGTCTATTACCTCATACCCATAGGTCCAAACTCTCCCAAAGCAACTACCTCCTGTGTCTTCTGGGTCTTACCTAGGGAATATACCCAATGGGGAACCAAAATAGCCCAAAGCACATAAAAGAGATGGGCCTGCACATTCCTCCTGGGGTGCAGCATGATGACATTTTGGAGCCAACAAGGCATGGAGAGCCAGACAAGCCAAGCAAACAGCAACACCGCAGGTGGGCTAGGAGCTAATGGACCACAGAAGGCGACTCCAATGAGCTGACCACATCCATCTGAACCTGCAGAGGCCCTCGCAGCTCTCCCTGCTCTTTGAACTGCTAAAGCATGAAGTACAAAACGGACCTTTCATGCCAGGTGCAAACCCTAACACCATCAAATAGCAGGTCCTAGCCTGCAAATTGAGACAAGAGGTGCTTGGTGCACATTCTGCCTGCTGGGAATAAGCCCCCTGGAGTCAGTGCTGTGACATGGACAATTCAGCAGAGGTTGGGTGGGGAGAATGGATGCATTTCTCTCTAACCACTTCACCACATTATCTTTGGAAAAATGGGCAGACATTATCTTGTTTTGTGTAGAGCTGTTTGACACTTAGCAGCTGCTGTGATTTCCTTTCCCTTCACATTTTACAGGTGGCTTTTTCCTGCGTACTTTCTAAAAATTAACTATGTGTGGAGGCAACGGTTATTTTCTAATAGCCTGCGATCCATTTTTGTGATTGATTAGACATGATGACAATTACCAGGATCAACAGGCTCCAAGTAATCAACAGGAGATTCTGTTACCTCCTGCGACATCCTCTCACCTCAACCTTTGCACTGCTGTGTTCCAAGCCAGCCAAGTGTTACTGTTATGGCAGTTTATTTACTCTATGTATGTACCGGGAGAATAAATGAGTTACGCTGTGTGTTTGCCTTCTACAGATAGGGGTATCAGTCCGTAGACAGGAGATGATCTGAACCTTGTAGGAAAAAAAAAAAACAATTATTAAAATGTACATATTGCATTTAGCTATTAAAAACCAACGGCACACAATCTGCTCTGAAGAAATTCCACTGGGAACTGGAACACACACAAAATATAAAAAGAAAAAGAAGAGAAAAGCAAATTGTATACATATACAGTATAGAGATTTTTTTTTTTTTTTTCCTGCAGAAAAGTGCTGATCCAAACCTGCCCCAAGGAAATGAGTTCTTTTTAAACACAAAAATGCAATCAGGGATAATCAGCAAGTTAACAACATACTTGCAAACACCCTGGTCCCTAGAAAGGAAGAATGCCAGCTTTCAATACAAGTTTTGAGAACAGAACAGATCCTTTGGACGAATAAGAAAACAAGTGATCATGTCAGCGTCTTCAGGCAGAACTTTCTCCAAAGCCAAGAAGCTCTGGAACAGCAGTCAGCTCCAGAAGGCACCTGCTTGTGAGAAGCACTTCAATAACCACATTCCCAAAATGGTTTGTAGACTGGGGTTGCCTCTTCCCCACCCCTTCTCCCAGTGGGTTCAGTGGAGGAAAAACAGAAGCCAAATAAGGACAGTATAGATGCCTGGCATCTCCGGTTCTGACAGCCCACCCACAGGAAGAGAGAAAGATGTGATGCCTAACCCATTAGAAGAAAGGAGTGGAGACCCAGGCAGCTCCTGCAATAGCCCATGCATGACAAGACCTCTGACGTGTTCTAGTCTCCAGTAGGTACCGCCTGGGAAATAAATTTTCTTTTAATTTTTTAAAATATTCTTAAATAGCCACTGATAGCTAAAGTTCACATCAAGCACAACCTGCTTTAGGGGTTGGGATGTTCTGGAAACACTTAAGGAACACCTGCAGTTTTTAATTACAAATCCCAAGGTAGCAGGGCCTTACCTGAATGAAGAGATCTTGGGAGTCAGTGGCAAGGCATTCACCTGGCCACACCCACCTGGCACCACCCACCTGGCACCAGACATCTGGCCTCCCTTGATCTTGTACTTGTTAGTTCTTAACTTTGATTGTGCATTGGAATTATGTGGAGAGCTTTAAAAATGTACAGATGCTTGGATCCCATGCCAAGAGATTCTGATTTAATTAGCCTGGGGTGTGGTCTGGAGTTTAAATTCCCCCAAGACAATCCTAACATGCAGCTAAGTTGAGAACCACTGTTCTGCCCTATACCTCACATCACCTCCACAAAGAGACTAGTAGGGGATGGCAACATAAAACCCGTCTAAGAGAATCCAGGGCTTAACCCAAAAAGAATAGGAAGAAATGTGACTTCCTTGCCTCCTGTCACCCTAACCTCTCAACATACATACCTGTATGGTCCGTTCTCAGCTTCTCCAGCAGTTTCTGCTACCCAAATCTAAGCTGTGAGTGAGTCTAGGAATCCAGGAATCTGGATTTTAAGTATTTGTCGAATGAAAGTTTGAGTCACCTCTCTTAGATCTAATCCCAAACAGTCAGGATTTGGTGAGCAAGGGAGGGCAGCCTAAGCCTTTGTGCCTCCCTGCTTCTCCCTGGGAAGTCACAGTTGAACCTGGGAGGTTCTCCAGATATGCTGTATACTCTCAGCTCCCTTGGAGGCTTGGCTGAACAAGGCTGTAGTCAATCTCTGTTCCTCTTTGCAATGTTCTCAGTACTTGGAGAGGATGGGAAAGGGAACCACATCTAAAGAGGTACCTCATGTGAGAAATCCTCATTGACAAAACAAAGAGGCAAGAAGGGCCTGGCCCAGATGCCTCATCCACCTTTCAGACACCTCCTGGAGGGCTGGGAGGTGGGGCGGGCCACAAAGGAACTGGGTTCATTTTTCTTTACACAGGCATTCTTCATGTGAGGGACGATTAAGAGGAAGTGATGGGGAGTTTCCCAACTATCCCTAAGGGTCCAAACCTCAAGGGGTCAGGACGGACACAGGTAGAAATTTGGCAATTTCTGTTTTTGTTTTTGTTTTTTCTTTTTTGAGACAGTCTCACTCTGTCACCCAGGCTGGAGTGCAGTGGTGAAATCTCAGCTCACTGCAACCCCCACCTCCCAGGTTAGAGCCATTATCCTGCCTCAGCCTTGTGAGTAACTGTGACTACAGGCATGTGCCACCATGCCCAGCTAATTTTTGTATTTTTAGTAGAGACAGGGTTTCACCATGTTGGCCAGGCTGGTCTCCAGCTCCTGACCTCAAGTGATCTGCCCACTTCAGCCTCCCAAAGTGCTAGGATTACAGGTGTGAGCCACCGTGCCTAGCCGAAATTTGCCAGTTTCTATCTGATTTCTTGCCCTGGGTTGACTGTGATAAACGGTGCTGCAGTGAGAGGGGCCAAGCTGGGACAGACCCTACTTCATCTAACCCTCTGAGTAGGGTACAGAGCCCAGGGTTCAGGGGCCAGTGTTCTCCTCCTGCTGAGATCTGACAGATTCGATTCTCCATTGAGAGTAGGCAAAGGATTTCCACTGCCTCCTCAGGGCAAGGGGCCCAGTGATCTAACATGAAGCTAAAGATGTGCATCCATATAGAACTGGTTTCTATCAGGAGCCCCAGCCTCAGCTATCCCATGGGTGGGTCTCTAGCAAGAGAGGGAGAGGGTCTTACCTTCTGAGCAGAGCTTGCCACCATAGCCAGTGGTAGAACAGTCACAGGTGGGGTGGCCGTCCAAGAGAAAGCAGATCCCACCATTTTCACAGGGACGCTCACCACAGGGTCCCTCGGCATCCAACTGGACACCCTGGCTCCCTAGAAGCCGAGGCTCCGAGTTTCCATACTTGAGATCCAGAATTAATCCCTTGAAGCCGGGCATGGCCTGTACTCCATCAAGGGTCAGGGCAGAAGGTCGTATGTCAGCAGGGACTCCACCAAGGAACAAGTCACTGACCACATCCATGTAGGGCCGCTGGGGCTGCAGCTCCCCAGACTGGCCCTCGCCGTCAAGCATCAGCACCGTGCGCAGGCGGTCGCGGCTCACCATGAGGAAGTGCCAGCTGCTGTCATTCACCTGCTTGTTGGACAGCACGGCAGTCTCGGCACAGTCCATGCTGAAGCGGAGCTGAACGCGGCCATCCACCAGGGAGAGGCATAGGAAGTCGCAGATGCCGCCATCATCCAGGTAGAGGAGCAGACCCGTGGAGACGTTGGTCTTGAACTGGAAACTCAGGTCGCTGCGTGTGCTGGCATCCCAGCGGAGGTAGCGGGCCCACTGGTTGGGGAGGCCCATGAACTCAAGGCCCAGGCAGAGCCCCAGCAGAGACCCCAGCAGGATGCTGACCTTCAGAGTGAAGAAAACCGAGTGGAGTGTGGAACTCATTGTGGCTGCTGGGACAGAGCCCAGAGGAGCAGACAGGCCAGGGAACAGCCCAGAGAGGATCTCTCCCTTTGGCAATAGAAGTGGGAGAGGAAGACAAGATGGAGATGAAGGGACAGAAAGCACACAGGAGGAAGGCAGCACACACACAGATCCTGAGATGGTGGAGAGGGAGGAAAGTGTACAAGAGAGTCCCAAAAGGGCACACAAGCAAGAAATTGAATAAAGGCAGTAGAAAAAGATAGGACCAGCAGAAGAGGAGGAAAATCAGGCGGGGAAGTGAGGGACTGGAGTAAAGAGGAAAGCGTCTTTCTCCAAGAAAAGATCTCAGCTATCCATGTGGATCCGGAGGCCTTGACTCAAGGAGGAGAAGGTGCAGGAGAGTAGGAAGAAGTCTTTAGCGATGCACTCCTCCCAACGGACCCCCAAACGCCCTAGCCAGGGAGGCCAGGGACAGGGCCGGGCTGCTGTGATGGAGGAGGAGTGAGTGGTGAGGTGAGCCAGGTGACAGGTAGAAATAGGCCAAGGACCAGTCCTAAAGTTCTACCTCCTAGCAGCGGCAGGCTGTGGGGAGGGGGGCAGCTAGAAGCCCAATGCTCAGACAGAGCAGGGCCCAGGGCAGAGCGCAAGCAGACTCAGGCTTCATGGTGCGGCCAGAGGCAGTGCTGCCCATAACTTGCCTCCCAGGACTCCAGAGAAAAGACCTGTGGGAAGAAGGGGAGGGAGAAGGAGAGGAAGATTAGGGCCATATATCAGGAAAACATTGCATCCTATTTCACAAGTATTGATGGAAAGCTGACTTCGAGCCAAGCTATTCTAGTGATTGCTACAGCGCTTAGTGCTTCAAACAGGAGGGAGGCCCTGGGTTCTTCCAGAGCCACTATAAGACCCGAGCCCAGGTCCTAATGATGCACTCAGGTTTTCCATATGTAAAAATAATGAAAATCCCCAAAGCCGTATCAGCACATTATTACAATATTCACATCACAAGGTCACATTGCCAAAATGTATTTTTAAGATAAGTGCTAACATTTTATGTATTCAAATGCTCACACCTGATTTTTACTTATTTACCTATTAAAAGCATGCAAATGACATTAAATTTTTTTCTAGATTTTTCCTTTTCAATTTGACAACTCACTGTAGGAAGCCTAAGGCAGAGTGCTACCCCTAAATTTGTGAAAGAAATGTTTATAAAAATCAGTGAAAATAAACTGGAAGGTGAGTAATGAGTAAAATAATCCTCCTCTCTTACTGAATATTGAGAGAAGGGTTATTTTACTCCATCAAAAAAAAAAAAAAAAAAGGCTGAGTTTGAATCCTAGCTCCTGTATGTGGCACTCTGAGAAAATTTCTTAATCTATTTGAGCTTCTATTTCCTCATTTGTAAAGTAAAGAATATAATAGCCTCTTCCCAAGATTGAAGAGAGGAATCAATCCTAGCATAAGGCTTTTCTTGTTTTTTGTTTTTGTTTTTGTTTTTTTTTGAGACAGAGTCTCGCTCTTTTGCCCAGGCTAGAATGCAGTGGCATGAGCTTGGCTTACTGCAACCTCTACCTCTTCAAGCAATTCTTCTGCCTCAGCCTCCCAAGTAGCTGGAATTACAGGCATGTGCCACAATGCACAGCTAATTTTTGTATTTTTAGTAGAGACGGAGTTTCATCATGTTGCCCAGGCTGGTCTTGAACTTCTGATCTGCCCACTTAGGCCTCCCAAAGTGCTAGGATTATAGGCATGAGCCACTGCCGCCGGCCACATGAGGCTTTACACATAGTAGGTGACCAACAAATCCTAGGTTTCTTCCTTTATTTCTGAAGTGGGAAGGGACAGGAGGAGGGGTTATTTGTGTATGTCTGTGTATGTGTGGATGTATGTATGGCTATAGAGTGAGCAATGTGTAAAAACAAAAATACTAAAAAAGATTATGAAAACTGCAGAATGGATGACAACTGAATAGTTAAGAAATTCCCAGAGTGATAATGGATAGTTCCGAATGACCTAGAGTATTTTACATGTATTTTATGATTATTCAGAAATAGTTAGAAATGTACCAGCATGCAGTTTGGTTTCTGAGGGCAGACTCTGGCCCACCTAACTGAGTTCTCTGTTCAGATCAAACAGTGAGTGTGATTTCTAGGAGCTGTGCAGGTTGCTTATTACCTGACACATTTGATAATTCACCATGGTCTCCATCAGAACATTGCTATCCACTATTTTTATGATAACCACATCAGCAAAGCTAGTTATTACCCCTTCTTTGAAGAGGAAGCTGCTGTTCCTTAACCAGGAACAAACACCTATTCCCAAGGAACAAACAAACCCAACCAACAAGAGGCTGATTAAATCCATCATAAGGAAAGCCTTTGTTCTATAAAAGCCTTTGTCCAAGCAATGTTCCCTAAAGTGTGGCACAGGTGCTGTGCCAAACTTCCATAGACTCCGACAAGGAAGGTACCACGTTCAAGAGGCAAAAGAAGAATCCCAGAGCCAGCAAATGAGACATGGAGTTTTATTGGGAGCTTACATCCAGAGGAGAGTCCAGTGGTGGAGAGCCGGGTAGGAGAGCTGCAACTGCTTGCAAAAGCATGCAGTTTACACAGCATATTTACTTAGCACCCTCCCCATAACAGCCCCTATCTGGCAACCTTCATTTACCCTAAAACAAAGGGCCTTGATCCTCTGTATAGCCAGTGTTCCATGGGACCGGCCAGGGGCTCATATGTTGCTCATAGAGAAGGAATGAATCTTCTGGTTGGCCACTCCCAGCTTCCCTAGTTTGGGACATATATTCAAGTGCATCTGCCATGCAGCGTCATTCTCAGGGTATGCTCAAGTTATTATCAAGTCCTTTTACCATACACACAGGTACCCCCAGTGGTTCAAGGGATGCTCAGTTGAGACATGGACACAGGAGTGTGCTGGTGCCAACTCACAAAGGCTTGTGAGAGCCAACTGCTAAAACTTCAAAAACTTTGACCTGGTCGGCATGACTTTGGTAGCATGAAATAAACAGGCAAGGAGTATCTACATCCCAGAAAAAAAGGCAAATACCACAAAGAGTCTTTTAGAAGGTGAAATTTAAGTAAAGACCTGAGGCTATGCACGGTGGCTTACGCCTGTAATCCCAGCACTTTGGGAGACCGAGGCAGGTGGATCACCTGAGGTCAGGAGTTCAAGACCAGCCTGGTCAATGTGGCGAAACCCCATCTCTACTAAAAATACAAAAATTAGTCCTAGTGGCAGGACCCTGTGATCCCAACTACTCATGAGGCTGAGGCAGGGAGAACTGCTGGAACCCAGGAGGCAGAGTTTGCAGTAAACCAAGATCGTGCCACTGTACTCCATCCACTTGTTCCAACAGAACAAGACTCTGTCTCAAAAGAAAAGAAAAGAAAGAAAAAAGAAAACACTTGAAAGAGTGTGAGGGAACCAGCCATGTAAGTATCTGGAAAGAATGTTTCAGAAGCAATAGTCAATGCAAAAGAACTGAGGCTGGAGTAAGCTGGTATATTTGAAGAACAGCAGGAGGTGGCTGCTGTTGGAGTGGAGTGAGTGGACGACATGAAGTCAGACGTGGATAACAGGAGGTTAGGACATGAAATGTGACTCAATTTCTATGAATATGACCCTTGTATGAGGTGAGGTATGCCAACCAAGTCAAAGGGCAACATCTCAATGAAAAAAGAAAACCCTTCAATTCAACTGTTTATTGAGTTCCAATTCATTCCAGGCACTACCGGATCAAAGCAGAATAAAGACACCAATCTCACCCTCCAGGGCATCACAAACTAGTGAGGGACAAGTTTACTTCAGAGACAGTAAAGCATGGCAATTAAGAGCCCAGGCTCTGGAACCAGATTGCTTATGGGGGGCTCCCTGGAGGCAATGACTGCTTCAACACAGTGCCTGCCACAGGGCCTCATCATGGAGCTGGAGTTTGGGAAGCACTTATAGACAGAATGAACAGTAAAAGCAGAAGTGGAAAAGCATCCCTGTGGATTATTTCACTTCTGTTCCATGCAGTGGCCTCCATACAACCCAACTTTACACAAAGACGGCAATCCTGAGCCCCCATGCCTCTCTGGATGCCAACCTCACATGACCCCAATGAGCAAGGCAGCACATGCTTAATGACCTGGGGAAACCCATGAATGAAAAACTGTGCTGCCGAGAAACATTCCCTTGTGGGGGAAGATCTTGGGCACTTACCTAGCCTGCTTTGTTGGGGCCACACACCCCTTCCAGGCTGAGCCTCTCCATTCATTCAGTCCCTTGTCCTTCCCCTCCAGCCCAGACCAGCACTGGAGATACCACCGTTCCCTGCCCTGCATTGTGGGGGATCGAAAAGGCTGACTGAGGAAACCCAGGCTTTCTTTCCCACAGGCAGAATCCAGTTTCAGAAGTGATAACATCAGAAGTGGGCTTATGTAGACTTAACCCTCGATGGTCTATCCACATTCTTTCCTACAGCCCTTCCATTTTATTCTTGGTTTTGGACATTCATGCTGCCTCTGGGAAATTGCCAAAATGGCCAAAAGCTAGAGATGCCCTTACACTAAATATCGCAAGCCTCCAACTGCTGCCAACGTTTATGCTTCAGCCTTCTTTGGCCCTCTGGTAGGGCATGCCAGACTCAAGAAATGGCAAAACAGGAGCCAGGGAGCCCTCTTCACCTGACCAGACAACTTCCACCCTCTGTTGAGCCATAGGAGAATGCAGGCAGCCACACACACAGGTGGTTTGCCCCAGAGCCTGCATGCAGGGCCCGGGCTGGTGCAGAAGCTCAGAACACTTGTCTGTTGTGTGGGAATCAAGCAAGAGAGGGAAAGTGAGTGACATTATCTAATTGCCAGCTAATTTGCATAATTATCGAACGGCACACTTTTTATGTGGGGTTAACATCTTTGCAAATGTCTCATAAGCCGGCTGCTTAGGAGGCGGCAGGGTGGTGCAGTGGGGGGGCTCACACAACTCTGACATGTGGGCTATTTGCCACAAGGGTGGCTCAGAAGATCTGGCTGCCATTTGCCCTCCCCATCCTCCTCCCAATTCCATTGCTCCCTTTTCCAACTGCTTGGAGCTTTAGCTGAGCTCGAGACAGACTCAAGGAAGTCGGACTGTGTCTAGAAGTGGATTTTATTTAGGAAGTCATGATGATGACTGACCTTCTGCCCTGCCTTTGTGGGCATCCCACAGTCCCCAGGCGGGGCTTACCAGGTTTTCTTCCAGAAGCTTCTTATGACCTGCCCTCACCAGAACTGGAAAATCTCTCCAATGGCTCTCTGGTGGTTTTGCCCCATGTTCCCTGCACCCCTCACCCCACTTTGCAGGTAAATGATTTTCACCACCAAACTTGCTCTGCGTCATTCAAGATAAGGTTCATCCCAATCCCAAATCATATGATCTCAGTTTAGTCAACTGGGACATTCCAATCTCCTGGTCACAATGATTAGTTTCAAGATGGGTCTCTCACCCAAACTTGAAGTTGAATTTGAGTTAATGCCGGGACTTTCACTGGAATTATTGTGAAAAGGATCCTCTCTCTCTTCTTACCACATCATCAAATTATTAGAGTGAAGCTCAAACTTGACAGACACCATCATTACTGGTGGAGTATGATCCATCTCCACCATTGGAGAGGATTTTGTCTAATAAGGAAAACAACAAAGAAGAAATCAGAGCCAAGAAATAGATACAAACAGAT